GTACTTCATTGCACCAGTGGAGTTACATATTTTGACAGAGATTTCTAAACCTGCAATCATCAAATCTGAATGTGTAACAAAATCTAGGACGTGATGTAGCTGCTTCCAAGCATATCAGCAGAATCATGTTGAGGACATTTCAGGCTTCACTTTAAATTGCTCATGTCTCTGGTTTCTCTTAGGGACTTTTCATAGTTAAATCAATAAAAGAACTGCAAACAAAAAATTCCTGCATTTTTGTACTAATAAGAATCCTTGGTTGTCAATCTTCTGAAGCTGGAGCTGACACGTGTCAGTTTTAGGTGGAGGACGACCTCTGCAGGTGGGACCGGACTAGCAGTGAGAGGGAAATGGTGAGCCGGTGAGGATGGCCTGGAGTGGAGCAGTGAGTTTCTGTGCAGTGCAGGGTTTTTGGCTGACATGGGTTTGCCGTGGCCAATGTTCTGCCCAGCAGAAGGCAAGAAGGTCTTTAAGCTCGACTTTTTCAACACAGGTCCTCTGCGAATTTCTACAGGTGGCTACACAAGTTTAAAATTATGAAACTTCCATTGGCTTAGGAGTCACTAAGGAGCACTCATGATTTTTTCTAGAATTTTTAGAACACTACAGAAATCTGGGCAAAATTCTGAAGTCCTCAAAACCAACTTAGTTTTTTTAGGGAATCCTTCGAAAGGGCAGGGAGCCCCTGTGATGGTTAATTAACCAGGAGACCAGGACCTTTGATGGTACATGGTAGTTCATATCTCATAATTAACCATGTTTAGTTTGGTTGTACACACTTGCAGTGAAGTACTCCTACAATGATTCAAATGTGGACAATTGTAGAATTTGCCAGACTCTAGTATTCATTTATTGATTGATGTAATAACTTTGTGCTCTCTCCGTTCCATAATATAAGGGATTTTAGGTAAATGTGACATATCCTAGTAGTTGTGACATATCCTAGTACTACTAGACAAGTACTAGGATATGTCACATTTACCCAAAATCCCTTATATTTTAGGATGGAGGGAGTAGATACTAAATCACAAATGCCCTTCATCTTTTTATTTGAGACTTTTGCTGTAATATACTCCGTTCCCTAATATAGATTTTGACATTTTGCTTGCACCTTTTGACTATTCGTCTTATTCAAAAAATTTTGGAATCATTATTTATTTTATTTGTGACTTACTTTATTATCCATAGTATTTTAAGCACAATTTTTCGTTTTTTATATTTGCACAAATGTTTTGAATAAGACGAGTGGTCAAACAGTGCAAGCAAAATGTCAAAATCCCTTATATTAGCAGACGGAGAGGGAGGGAGTAGTATCTTTTGCTGTTATTTTCTGCCATCAGACATGTATGTGTGCTCCTTACCATTCTTAGTGACGTAGGTTGTACGTGCACCTTGACAAGTTTAGGTTACAATATGTGCCTTCGGACATTTGTTACCAAAAAGTCGTACAGTACTGTAGTTTTAGCTTGCATATGTGCCTTTGGAGTTTGGGCATAGGTTACGAAGAAGTCATACAGGACTGAGTTTTTCAGAAAGCGCGCGGCCGCGTTTTCAGAAAGCGCCTGCCGAAGCTTCTCACTTTTCATTCCCGACAGGGCAACTTCTCTCAGTTTGTTCTTGGGCCTGTTATTTAAAAAGGGCTGGTGAGCTGGACCCATTACATATTCCCATGTAATTGAGTATGCCAATAAAAACTAATACTGGTTCTCCATTCTTTTTTTCAAAAAAATAAATTTCAGATAACGCCATATTTTAGGTCGGGTTATAACTCGACTTTTGAATTATAACACCAGGTATTATGGTATTACCTAAAACCCCATCTCTGTACATATAGGGCATGCCTTTGATTAAAAATTTTATAATATAGGTCGTCCTTGCTCAAAAATATACAAGAAATTTTCGGCGATGGGTTAACCCTCATCAAAAAAGTTAGATTTAGGCGGTGAGCCTCAGCAAGCCACACCCTTAAGGGTCTCTTTGAATCGCAGGGTTGAAAAAATAGAGAAATAGGAAAAACACAGTATTCTGATAGAAATTGATAATTAGTTCACCGAAGTAGTAGGGCGCGACACGCGTGTACGTTGCGATAGATGTGGGTTGTTTTTGGTGTATGCGCATGCGTACTGCAGGCTTGTTTATCGGATGTGACGAGGTAACACAATCGTGGCAACGCGCCAACGTCCTCCGATCCTCCAGGTCACCAGGTGCACTGCACTGCACGGCGAACAACGGCTCGCGCGCTAGCTATCTCCCCAAAATGGCAATTTGGCAAATGCCCACCGCGCACCGCACGGACCGGACCGGACCGAGTCCATGTTGGCTCCACGTACGGAATCCAGCCAGGCGCCAGTTGGGCACCCGCCGCACGTGTCGCGCGCCCACGCACCCCCTCACGTGACCCCCGTACGCGCCGGGCCCCACCGCACGTGTCACTTGAACCTGTACTACGTACTATATATACTCCTCCCGAGCAGAGCAACCCGAAGCAGAGCCCACTGGTGTAGTGAGAGTCACCAAAAAGGCCAAAACACAACATCACCGTTGATCTCTGATGGAGTCCGACGCGTCGACCTCCCCGCGCCGGAGTGACAGCAGCGACTCTTCCACCTGCTCCGACGGCGATGACCTCCTGTCCTCGTCGTCCCCCAAGGGCACGGGGATACACCGCCTGCCGCCGCTGCCCTGCGCCACCGATGGCGCCATCGCGGCCCTGGTGGAGGAGCTCGAGTCGCCCGCGTCGTCGCTGGACGACCTGCGCCGCGCCGCCATGGAGCTCCGCCTGCTGGCCAAGCACAGCCCGGACAACCGCCTCCGCATCGTGGCCGCGGGGGCCCTGCCGCCGCTGGTGGCGCTGCTGTCCCGGCCGGACCCGCTGCTCCAGGAGCACGGCGTCACCGCGCTGCTCAACCTGTCGCTCCGCGAGGACAACAGGGGCGCCGTCGTGGACGCCGGCGCGGTCGGCCCGCTGGTGCGCGCGCTCAGGTCGGCCGCGTCCCCGGCGGCGCGCGAGAACGCGGCCTGCACGCTGCTCCGCCTGGCGCAGCTGGACGGGTCAGCGGCGGCGGCCATCGGGCGCGCGGGCGCCGTGCCGGTGCTGGTGTCGCTGCTGGAGTCGGGCGGGGCGCGGGGCAAGAAGGACGCGGCGACGGCGCTGTACGCGCTGTGCAGCGGGGCCCCGGAGGAGAACGGGCCCCGCGCGGTGGAGGCCGGGGCGGTGCGCGCGCTGCTGGAGCTGATGGGCGAGCCGGAGCGCGGGATGGTGGAGAAGGCGGCGTACGTGCTGCACGCGCTGGTGGGCACCGCGGAGGGGCGCGCGGCGGCCGTGGCGGAGGGCGGCGTCCCCGTGCTGGTGGAGATGGTGGAGGGCGGCACCCCCCGGCACAAGGAGATGGCCACGCTGTGCCTCCTCCACGTCTGCGAGGACAACGCCGCCTACCGCACCATGGTCGCGCGCGAGGGCGCCATCCCGCCGCTCGTCGCGCTCTCCCACTCATCCGACGCGCGACCAAAGCTCAGAGCCAAGGTACGTTACGTACTACGTACTCCATCATCAATTCGTCATGTCATGTGTGTTCGTTTCTCATGGAATGGTGGATTTTTTTTTTTTGGCAGGCAGAGGTGTTGGTCGGGTTGCTGCGGCAGCCGAGGAGCGGGAGCCTGTTGCGGGCGCGGCCGTCGGTGGCGGCTTCAAGGTTGCCGGCCGGTCTCTGTAATTAGGGGATGTTTGGTTAATGTATAGCCTTGTCATAACTAAGTTTAGGTTAGTTGAGGGATGGTGGCACTAGTGTGGCTTAGAAATAGTTGATCATAAGTGTGGCAAAATTAGCTTTAAATTTGAATTTGAGAGTATGGCATGTGGGTCCCAGGCTATAAAAGTGTGGCATGACATAATTGCTATAGCGAACCAAACACATACCTAAGAAATTGTGGTATAACTAAAGTGTAGCGTGGTAAAGTGTGGCAACCAACCAAACAGTCCCTTAGTACTAGCGTATAATATTTACTAGGTGTGTATTATGTAAATAGTATTACGAGTATCTCATTAGGCCATTCCAACCCTCCTTGTCATCCAGTGTCCATAGTATTAAATACATTACCACATAAGCAAAAATATAATGTGGCAATAGAGTTAATGAGAAGAGAGGTAAAAAGATGAAGAAATCATTTCTCATGTAAGAAACCATCTCTATACAATAACTAAGAATGAAAATTATAGGATAAGTGGATAAAAGGTAAGAATGAAAATTATAGGATAAGTGGATAAAAGAAGAGAGAAGAGAGATACTTGGATAGGAATTTAATTTGAAGATACCATCCATTATAGATTCTACATATAGTGTCAAGACATGGCAATGGATCATCTTATTCAAAAATTTCTCTTCATCCAATCATCTCAC